TTTTATTGTTTTTATTTTCTTCTGGAAGCAAGGGAATTTATTTATACTCTTATTACATACAAAATATTTCATATGAAATATAATTTTATTGTATTTGTATTTGTACAATTTGGTTTTTTTTTAAATTTTTTCTAGAAGCAAAGGTAGTTCATTTATTATACTTTAATTATTATTTATAATTTTTTTCTAAAGAAATCAAATGGGAATTACAATTATTATTAAATAAAAAATATTTTCTATTTATTTAATACCAAGTTTTTATTTAATATAATGTGTAAGCCTTCAAAAAAAAAAAATAAAATAAAAAAAATAAAATAAATAAATAAATAAAAAGTGAGAAGATAATATTATTATATATATTTTTAAAAATTATTTATTTAAAAAAAAAATAATTATTTATTTTTATTTATTTATTTATTTATTTATTTATTTATTTTATTTATTTTAAAGATATTCAAAATTTTATTTACAATCACTATTTTTTACAGTGAAAAGCATTTACGTTATAAATGCGCATTTCGCTTTGTTTGATCGAACGTGCTTGAAGTTATCGACTATCGTTAGTGCTTCGTGCTTAATGTCAGTGCGGCCTACCGTTTTGCTTAGCAGTTCAAATTTCAGTTTTTGAGCAGCACATGCTACTTCTGTGATATCAAAGGGAAAGTCGACAGAAATGTAAGTTTATTCGTATGAAATATGCCGAATATATTATTTCATATATAATTCGATTCAGCAAAGCAAAAGATGTCGTTCTACAAGCCAAGGTTTACCGCGGTGCAACGGGCGCAGCCGCTCACATTGGATGAGCGCATAGAACTGCTGGAGATGGAGGTTGACGAACTGGCCAGGGATGTGCGTGCCTATAAGAACTACGTGAACTACGGCAGCCAATCGGAAGATGAGGCAGTGGAGGGCGATACGGAGGATGATTTAATTAGTATGGTGGTCGAGCTGACAAATCTGCATGCGATAGAGCATGCGGAGTTTGTCAGACGTTTACTGTGGAATACTGATAGCTTTTCGGAGACGGACTCTATATTTTAGTCAAGATATCTGGCGAGATATATACTTAGGTACATATATCTTGTATATGTATATGTGATTATGTATGTGATTATGCAACAGCAACATTTATACAAAAGTTCAACTGAACTTAATTCTACTTATATACATATGTATTTATATATGCATACGTACTTTTAAATATATACATGTTCGCCAGTGTTGGCTAACGCTTTAGGGCATACACAACAACAGCAACGACAACAATAAGTTTCTCTCGTGTCCAAATATTAAATGACCATTGTGACAATCAACGACAAGCGACTATAAAACTGTCAACTATTGATGACCTGACTTTCTGATGGTTCTGGGCAAAGAGGCGTGGCAGGGGCAGTGTGGCACTATGTACTATGTTCGTATGCTGTCTGCAATCAGAGTTGGAAATTTCTTCGCTTGCTTTTTACATGCAAATTTAAACGAGTTTCAATCACCAGCGGCCATTGTCTACGGGCGGGCTCCACTACCAACTCCCAACTCTCTCTTTCTCCCCTTTCTGTCTGTGTGTGTGTGTTCGTCACACTGTGCGTATGAGCTATGAAAAAGTAATTAAATTTAAGGGCGCACACAACTGGGCAGCCAGCTAGTTAGAGGGACTGAGCGAGACACCCTGGGAACAAGTAAAAAAGTGTCATTATTAACGCATTGAACGCGAATGCCAAACAAGCTGACAGCTGTGCCCCAACCAGGCGGGAATTGTGTGTGTATGTGTGTGTGCCAAAAGGATTCAGCTGGACATTCGAGTTGGTAGAGAGAGTGGGAGTGGGAGTTGTCTCTGACTCTGGATAGGTTTCCACTGTTTGACGCTATTGACACTTCTGCACAGTTCACAAATGACATTTATTGAAAATTTCATCATTAGGCAACCGAGCGAACTTTGTCAACTTTTGCAGCATGTCAAAACTTATTTAAATCGACTCCTTTGACACGTGTGTGTGCGGGTGTGTGTGTGTTGTGGGTATAAAGGTTCGCTTGATATTAGTGTAGCTTTATCTAGATAGCTGGAGATGTGCTGACAACCCTTGCATTTTGTGTTTTGGCAATCAGTTTGGCATCAACAGCAACTCACTGAACAGCAAAATATCCCCAAGGATATAGCCAAATATTCTGCTCCTTTTTTGTTGGTTCTCTTTCGATTTTTGCATAATTTTCAAAATGAAAAGTTCGAAGACAGTGTGAAGATGCTGAAGCTGACAACAATATTTATTCAACCCCAAATCGAAAAATAAACAAAATGTAAATATAATATGCTCATTGGAGATGGAGATGGAGATGGCGTTGGCGATGGAAATAGAGGTGGAGGTGAAGATGGAAATGGAGATGAATGAGCAGCACACACGTTAGATTCATGTGAGATAAGCAAAGAAGCTTTAACCAAATTTTGAATATATTCTCTATATGCTCTTTATATGCTATAGAAGGTGCCTTAGGCTAAGCAGAGCTTAAAACAGATTTAATCAAATTAATTGATCAATTAGTGCTCTATATATCTCTCTCTTTCTTTCACGTCAAGCTCAAATATAAAATTAAATAAATACAAAATTAAATTGAAATTGAATAAATAATAATAAATATATAAATTAAATAAAAAATATTTTTCATAAAAGACAACGTATCAATTTATTGAATATAATATTTAAAAAAAAAAATTAATAAATAAAGTAATAATAATAATAATAATAATAATAATAATAATAATAATAATAATAATAA